GCGTATCCCGAAATCCCTAAGAGGAGTTACACACAATGTGGAATGTCTAGTTCTCTGGGTATTTGATACATTTTTGCGTACAGTCAACAACTGTGCGTTTAATACTGCAGGGAAGTATGTACAGTGTCTTTATAACAGTTCAGTAAACTTTACCTGGGGTCTTGTGGGCTGACGTATAATATATAGGAATCAACGTATGAATTAAAGTTCTCCCGGAAAAAGTAATGAAAAGACAGATGATCAGTGTGTACATTTTGTCACCACATGTATGGCCACAACTCAGATGTCTATGCGCAGCGCTTCATTGCTTCAGCTGTCCAGAAACGGGAAATCAGAAGATTCAGTTGGCCGAAAGGTAGTAGCGTGATGTTTAGACTTGGGAAAGCAACAAAAATGTGAACACTGACTCACAGAAGGCAAAATTTTCCGTCAGCGAGCACATTTTTCAAAAACATGTGTTACTACTCCAGGTAGCATACTGACGGGTAAATCAGTATTTAACCAATCCCACCGCTTTCATATTTTCAGTGACCCCCAAAAACTGATTATTCTTTAAATGCGGTCTAGGTGTATATCGTGTCTTATTCGGCCGCAAGCTCAAAAACTACTATCACGCCAAACAAGCCGAAAAAAATAAGCTCTGGATAACGAAGTTCCTAACTGAAGAACAGAGAAAATACCATTAACTGGAGAGATAGAATCAAAGTAGCTTTTATTGGTAAGCTAGACTGGCGAGTATATACGGATGTGTTGTACGTCATCTACTTTTTGAAGAAATGCCGGGAACACATAAGAATACGCGTCAGAATCTGTCTCCAACTGTTTAATATACAGTCAAAGGATAAACCTTAGTCTTCGCGTGTCTGTAGAGGAAACAATGCAGTGTTTTGAGATCTTGAGAGGGTAGCTAATCGAGTGCTAGTCTCCTACCAATTCACCTGCTTACAAATTATCTTACTCTCCGGAAATAGTAAGGTGGAATACACTGCAAGGAGAACGCTCGATCATACATATACACACACAAAGGCGCGGCAGTCCCATTTGGCAATCTTTCACAAAATTCGGAATTCAAGTCATACCGGAAAAGTAAGGTTATGCCATAGTTTGGTTCCGCAGACCTCACCAAACAGCCAGCTGTCGACTTCTTTTGATACATCCGAATGACTGAATCATTTTGATAGCTATGTAAAGCATTATTTCACAAATCGTGACCACGATCTGAATGGAAAGTTGCAGCATCGGCAAAAAGTAAATCAGGACTAAATATTGCAGTATCGCTAATTGGAAGCGGAACTATAGATGAGGTAGGAAATTTATCGTGTGGGCTTTATTCACTCGAACATAACTGGGACGCTTGAATCCTCTACCTTTCAGTATTCGGTGAGCCAATGTTCTCGAAATTTGAAGAAATCTGGCCAACAGCCCGATTAAAATCCTCCTAAGCAGTGATTCAGATACTTTTAGAAAAACCGTATCCGACAACTGGCTTTGCTTTCGCTACGACATCACGAAATGTTCTTCCAAGTCCTCCGAGGCGCCTTGGCAGTTACGACCATATGCGAAATGGCAGGGTATGGGCAATAAGCATAGGTCGCGTGGCAGACCAAACATGACTCCAAAGCTATATCGTAATGAATCAGAGCTCTGTCCACTCGAGTAGTGGACAGTGACATTCATGGGTGCGAGAGTGAAGAGACCTTCCTAGGATTACTAAGTAGAAAAAAGAAACTATACCAGTTATGTACTCGAGTAATTATATCACCGTCCATTGTCCGGCTAAATACGATGCTACTATCGTTCAACGATACCAACTACTGTACCCTAGGCGCAGCTATTAAATTCCTTTCCATACATAAAGGTTGAATAAATATTGGCAGTGGGAACTTTGTGCAATCCGTGCATGGCACACAGAGGTCGCCCCTGCAACTGCTGCTGATGTACATTAGGTCCACGGACAGGACATGCCCCGGCGATAACCGAACTTGAATAACTGAATTTCGTATTCTGGAATTCAGAAGCCTTTCGACTATCTGCCGAAATCATAACTCCTTAAGACTACAGCATCTGGAAGCCCAGCATAAGACGCTGACGCACTTCAATACCGGGGGATTTTCAGATACCGTAAGCTGTTCGCGTGAGCTTTGAAAGCCAGTCCTGAGACTTGTACCACAAGGAATGTAGCGTAAACACACTCTCAGACGTGATAATTCAGACGTATCCAGCATGTGATGACGGAGTAATGCTGACACGTTCGCCATGTAAGTCGGATGTCTGGAGTTCACCCCCCAGCACAGCCAAGGATAGATATTGCTGATGAGGTCTAATAAGACCCTATAGCTTCTCTGTTTACCTAAGTGAATACGTTCGGTGTGGAACCTGGTGGCAAGTAACCAATTAAGTGCTTCAGTAAGTCACGTGTAACCGCACTAACTCCGGATGACGTATGAATACACGTATATTAATTGCTACTGTTTCTTAAAGTCGTCAAATCATCGACCACAAGAGACTGGATGTGCTTTTTGATCTATTCGGGTTCCCGAAGTTGCCTTGATAGGCATCATTACGGCCTGATGTCGTCAATGGTCAGGTGATGCAATTTACAGTGATTTATGTGATGCATCGTTTCAAAAGAGGAAATATTTGATCGGCAATTCTCGGCTGTCGTTCGACTGAGGGTATGTGGAACTGCCAGCCCACCAAAGAATAACACGTGAAGACATTCAAGTGGGCAAGATAATTCCACCGACTGTTAGCATGCGATTCAGACTATCGAATGAATAGTTGAGTTGTTTTGTCTACCCGATCGAATTCTGATCAGCGGCGTTGAAATTTTCGGTCAATGTTGACACGCGAATCAGTGTATCCACCCGGTGCTATGTCGCACACCCATAGTGGTATTAGTTCTGAGGACCCGTCCCTCACACTCCAGATCATGCTCCACCACTTGTGTTTTGGTCAGAGTGGGTACACGGTGTCCCTCTACTTGGAATGAGACGATTTGCCCGTAAGAATGTAGATCACCGAACCGTCTACTATGAATCCAGCTAAGCTTTTTCGGCTATGCGATGTGTGAGTGTAATTCCCTGATACAGTGAACATGTACTTGTTTTCTCGATGTATTAGCCCTCTGGTAATCATTTAAACGTCTCAACTCAGACGCGATTAGCTTGTGTTTTGCCCCCTCTAGGTTTTGAACTGGCCAACCCACACGATATACTCATATACTGATGTACAAAGACACAAATATATATATACACTCAAAGCAACTCACTGGTTGCTTTGAAATGAAGAAAGAAACGTCGGTCGAAGTGTCATTCAAACACCCAATACAAATAATGTGATTGGCCGTAGATGTTTTGAGAAAAAAGGCTAGAATAGATAGTCAAGAGCAGCATATAACGTACTCCTACATTTGTGTTGCACTTGTTTTTTATCCTTTTTATCCTCACTTCCGATGCCTGTCGAGTAACAGTGTAAATTCCGTTTTTTTTTCTGACGCTACCTGTCGTCTACGCAAATCATTTTGTTTCATCCGCTAGAGAGAGACTGGAAGAGCACTACGTGCTTTATTAGTGGAAGTACTTTCATAACATCCTCTAAATAACTGCTAGTTGAGAGGAACAAGTTCGGGACAACAGCATAGCCATAAGATCGCATTAGATTGAAGGTCATCACAGAAAAGAACACTGGGGGTTGGGTATATTATGTCTTTTCCTCTGATTGTTACTTCAAGAACGCCGTAACCATTTCACTGCACCCGGTTTAAGCCCACTTGCAACCAGGTGTATATGGGACACTTGCTTTTCTGCTACTCGAAACTTAACCTGCGTTTACGTTGTCCCAATTTCCTCAGGAGCACCTCCGGCTATGTGCAGAACAGGCTCGTCTGCGTGCACAAACTCGAGCTGCTCTGGCCAATTTGTCTAAGCCACTCTCGTTTTGTTCAGCAATGGCTTATAAAGACTTAACCTATGTACCACCTGTTTCGAAGACAGAGCAACGCGTGAGTTCCCTGTTTATCTTCTCGACTGTTTTCCTGTACACGCAGTTTGCCCGTTATCAGTACCTATTTGAATTGCTTTGTAGTTACAGGCCTGATGAACCTCAAACACAACTACCACAGAAGGCATGGCTAGTTGGTGGTTTCACCCCTCTAACTTGAAAACAGTCGGAACCAAATTACTTTGGTGTCATCATCATCGGAAACAGCAACATCAGTGTTGAGACTGATGCATCACTGCCGTTGGTCTGTGAACCGACCAACGAGCATCTGAACCTCACTCACGTTAAGACGTCCCGGTAGTTTTCGTAAGATGTTTTAGTGAAATTCATGTTCACTCTACAATAAGCCCAGTGCTTCCCTTCAGAAATCCAAAAGTTACTCGGCTTGAAGTTAAGAGGTTCTTGTTCGACGCAACGGTTCGTTTTTATTGCAGGTTGGATACCCCTTGAGTCAGTCACTTTAGATTTACATAGGATCATTTCTTGGTTTCCCAACTTCCAACTGTGTAGTTTTCAAAATTAAATTGGTGTTAGTGAAGTTCCGTATGTTGGGAATGCTCGTGGTTTCCACGGTGCTGTACACTTTGTTCGAAATACCTAACGTTCCCAACGTATGTACTTTAACTTAAATAGCACAGCGTAAACAGAATTGGATTTTTTTTCGAAAATGGCCTTGAGACAGTGAAGAAGTTCAGATCCAGCCCCGTGGACATTACATTGAATCCCCCTGCGATGTTTCTATTTTGGATGACCGCTTCTCTCTCCTGGGGTGCATTCTTCCCCATACTACGAGCGACAGTCCTTCTGCCTTTCTAAAACCTTCCTACTTCCTTCTAAAACTGCCTCGTAGGAAATATTTTGACAGTTCGATTTTTTTGGCAGTGAGGGTCCGGCAGGTTAACCCAATTGGGCATCACACGAGTGACTTTAATCTTGACCTCGTTTTGCTTACTGGATGAAATGAGTTCTACGCATCCGAAACAATTCAGAAAATGATGGTTAATCAACAATTTGTGGTTAAGCTCTACTCACCTCGCTCATTGATACTCTTCTACCATGTTATTTCTGCAAAACGCCCCTACGTGAAACTGTTTATCCTCCAGTTACAAATAAGCAACACTTCGATTTAAGGAAGTCTGAGTGTTCCAGAACGATGTTCCTTCTGAGGAAATTTGTGCGTGAAATTTGTGGACGCTTGGTGAGCGAAAACACCATAAACAGCCTCCATGCTTTTGGAGCGACAATTTTTCAAATCCGCCCTTCGGTGGTCACTCCATAGTGGTTTTATTATCGGTTCACTGCTTTACCAGGGCATTGACGATGTAACAATAGCTTCGCTCTCTCTCCCTCTCCCTCCGTCAGCTACAGCTATATACGTAATTCTCCTCACAAAGAAACAACCTAGCTTAATATCAAAGTTCGTAGGGATGACGATTACCACCAGAAAATATTTACCCCTGGAGTAACGTTTTTATTCCAATGGGACAGAATGGTGAGCTATACAGTATGGTGTCTAAATGTAGAGGAGACAATCCGAAGAATTATATTGCACAAGAGTAATACAGCGGATGACAATCAAAGCATACGGAAATACAATAAGAATCAGCATTGTAACTGATCGAACCGTGCCACATTTGCGAGTGTTTGCCGTTCGGCGTGCACGTATTGCAATAAGAGGGTAGGCCAGTTAACACTTGAAAAATTTCGTTCCTCTGAGTAGGTACTACCGGGCTTGTCATGATATGTCAGTTTATTGAGTTGACCATGAGCGTAGATGAATGGATAGGGCTTTGATAAACGGCAGGACTCTACCTACAGGAGCGAGATGAAAATTAATCAGATTGTATATTACGGTACCCTTATTAGCCAGTTCACTTGATCGAATCCCCATTGTGCTATTTCGTCTGCGTCGCAAATCTTCTGGGGATAAACTGTTGTGTAGGTTCTTGTGAACCATTTAGACGTATTCCTAATGGTTGAGGACTACGGTTTTTCACCAGTATCGACATCCGCCTCAGCGTGGTGACTCCAACCAATTTCCAGTCCTACATTGCCTGATCTTGACAGGATTGTGTCCTCATAGGTCTGTTGGTATTTTTTTTCGAAACGTATGCGGAAACTTCAGGTAAAGTGGTAGTCTGGAGTCAGACCGCTGCCTTTTGGACTGTAAAAAGGAAGTGTTTTCGGTGTTACCTTATTGAAAAGCAGTTATCCTTGTGTAGAAGCGTCGAGTTTCGGTGAGTTTCTATATTTTTTAATATTTGGTGTTAACTGATCTTTTTTTAAAGACTCACAGATCGTGTGTTGTTTTTGTGTTGTCACTTAAGCCGTTCGAATTTCGGAAGAACCTCTCCTTTGCAGCCTAACTTATGACGAACTCAGTCCTTATGAGCACCAATGTATCCCCTTCTGATAGCATCGTCATGAATATCACCACCACCAGAGACAGCAACATCAATGCTTCACTACCGCACAACCGCAAGGTATATTCAATTACATTTAAAGGGTTAAATGACTAGAAGAGTAATTGACGAATGAACCCGATGATAACCTACAGCCAGCATTCTGAGGTATCTACACCTCCAAGCACTCACTCAGATAATCTGCAAACTGACATTATCAACGCCACTGACATCAGTTGCGTTCTTGCTTGAAAATTCTATCAGCCATGATTCATCTGACATTCTTGCGTGCAGTTTACAACAGCCAGTGCGTAGATTTCCTTGCTGTCGTCAGTGGAGTTACTTTAGATTTATGTGACAACCCGGTTTTGTCTGAAATTCGCTTGATAGACAATTAGCGAGGGTGTTGTGGTCTAGCAACTGGGACAACCAAAGCCAATTTCTGACGAAAAGAACTAGTCACTGTCGCTTGTAAGTTCTCTTGGAATGGAAACTTATCCAGCATGCAAGGATGTGCACTGTCTTATAAAGCCATTTTTGCATTTGCGCGTCAGCTCGACGTTGCTTGCCCGTGTCTATATTATTTTTAAAGCACTTTTGCCTTACCGACAGAATGGGAAACACAAGTCTTTCTCGGTACCGATGTGCATTCTGTGCAGGTTCTGGTATCAATTCACTGGTTCCGAACTTGGGAGTTTCTGGGTCGTATACTAGCAGCGTTTCCCAACCCCGTGGCCTAATCTCATATGAACAAAACACATGCTGTTCGTAAACAAGGTGGTTAATTTGCCTGGTCTAATCGAACTTGTGCTTTTCACACGCTAAAATTTCCAAACCATCTAAAGCCACGTCCACGAACACAGCGAGAGACGGATCTGGCCAGACCTGATGCACCACGGGCTGCTGCGTGCCGTTTGTCGGGAATGCAGTCTGCCTGTCAAACTTCGTTACGCTTCCAGCTTGACTGTTCACTCGATAATGCTTTCCTCCTCCACGAATGGTTACAGTAGTGGCAACTTTGGCAATGGTAAGAATAATGGTTGACAAGCCGGCTGGTCGCCCGTGTAGCCTGTCCTTAGTCTGCGCTCCCATATTCTGATACACTTAGCGGCTACTCTATTCTACTGAAGGATCTTGTGATGGATTTCGTTGCCATTCTGCTGCTGCCCACTTGGTCCCCGTCACACGTAACAACTAACCAATTTGTTTGTTCTGTCTGGTTCTGTCCTTCCACTGCATGTATTTCGTTGCCACTCACGTGGCAAACTTTACTTTGCAGGACGAGGAAAACGTGCGCGACCGTTTTACGCAACGAATGTTTATCGGTTGGCTGGAAAACATTCGGGATACGTTTCAGCAAGAAAAGGTTCGTCCATTGAGTTATTTCGTCTTGTTTTGCCCTTTGGTTTTCCTGGCTTTATTCGTTTCCAAACGTCGATATTGACGAAAGCTGGTAGCCCCTACTGATGTTTTTATCACGCTCAAGATATCAGTATCTCGTCATGCAAGTGCTTCCCGGGGTAATTTGGCTGAACAGTAGCGAAGTAGTGTGCCGTTTCGCGTGTACTTTCAGTCCGCCACATTTCACCCAACTCTGATTCTTTTATTTCAAAGCAACATCAACTTGCGTTGGAAGTATCACCCCTATCACAACTGCTCAGTGTGGGAGATTTGACTAGCTGGTTTTTGACAGGCTTGTCTCCAGTTCTTCCTCTCTCTGTTCTGTGTTAGTCCGAAGGTTTACAGACAACGTATGCATTCAGGCATGAATGCGGCGTCCTGAATTACTTTAGGCAGTGTTCAAAAATTGCTACCTTTCATAGCGTTTCGGGTCAATTTGATCTGAGAGGAAAAAGTCGAATTTTAAAAACTCAGTTATCGCACTATCTTAACGGGCAAATAGCCTTCTAGTGCACAATTTGAATTCTGATTGGTAATTAATCCGTTTTCTCGGATAATGTATCACAGAAACCTTCCAACGGTTTCCAACGTAACTCTTGAACAAGCATATCACTAAGCATTTCCACCTCCAGGTAACACGATTGATGATTGTTCATAATAACTTCCACATAGCTTCCGTTTTTATCGCGATTACCGGATTGAACTGCTCCGGATAACGTCCGGAAGCACAACCAAACAAAAAATCAGTTTCAGAAGGACTTGGTAAACAATCGGTAGTTTTTAACTGGACAACGGTTTGCTTCTGACACAAAAGCTACATCGGGCCAAGTTGGTCAGGTTTTAAGGCAGACGGAGAACCAATCAGTAAGATGTCTTCGTATTAGCGCATTGTATCACTGTTGAGTGTCAATTAACGGCTCTAGTCGGGTAATGTGGTTGATTGGTTGGAGGAATTTTTCATTGTTTTTTATGGAGTTTGGTTCAATGTGTTCCAATTGATGATTCACCTCGTCTGCCACTGGTGAATTTGGTTTATCTGTTTGGGCTCGTAAATGCTACAACAGTTTAGTTGGGGTGGGAAGGAAGGATAGGTGGGTAGGTAGGTATGATTAAGTGCAGTTCAGATCCTAGCTACTGCTATTGATGACTCCCGTTTATGATAACCGCACACCACCACGTGTCAGCTCAATTGATCTAAATTCGTGCTCGAAACTCCTACCAGTTCTACGCCTTCCATTCTATGAATTGGTCATCGCTCTGTGGCGTAGATCGTAGTCTCGTCCTCAAAACCTCAACATTTTCTAATTCTGTTTTGTGTCCTGTATCCAGTGCATGTTGTGCTATTGCTGTCTTTCAGTAACGCTTGATATTCATCTGCGCTTCCCAGCGGCCTCTTGATTTTTCTCTTGTGCTCTCCGATTCTGGTGTGAAGTTCCGTGGCCTTCTTTCCTATATAGACCATAGTGCAGTCGTTGCACTTAATTTTGTAAACACAGTCCCTGGTTCTGTTCCCTCTTGTATATCTCCACCGGTACCAACATTCTTCGTAACTGATACCTGGCCAAACTAACTGGATATCCACTACCCTGCAGTTTGTTCTTTAATTCAATTTGGGCCACTGTTGTATCAACTACTGTGCACAGGACCCTTACTCGGCTAAACATTGATGAGGCAATATAGCGAATACTGACTTCACTTACCCCGTTTCAGTACTCACAAACGCTTAGATGATCCCCTATGTGATTAGCACACCTGAACAAGGATCAACACCCTTTTCTACCCATAAATATTGAGTTGATTCCACTTTGTTTCAAAAAGACGCCTTTTAGTTTGACGTATGAAGTGCGGTTAGCAATGGGAGTTGTGTAATGACAATTCAAGTGCAGAGTTCCTCTACCTAGCTCGCGATAATGCGAATTGCGTTGATCGCGTTGTCATGCTGATAGAATCCTCCATCTGCATTCTTATTCAACTACAAGAAGGCACAAGTTACCATATTCGAACAGCTCTTCTACGCCGCCAAAGTCTCTCATCAGTTCAACCTCAACACTGGGAGCCCTGGAATTATCAACTTGGAAGTATCAAGAATAAGTTTCCATGTCAACTTGTCCCCAATTTTCATTCCTTCAGTTCTAATTATGGTCTTTTTCACTCGTTGAACTGTCAGCGTTGACATTGCAGTGCAGTTCTGCGACGATCCATAGGTTGTAAGTGATATGCCTACGTCTGTTTATTGCCCGACAGAAATCCATGCCAAGACTATCGTCGTTCTTGTTTTGGTTGGTTGACCAACCCGGTACGTTCAGCCAAACGATGATACATACATGTGTGGGTATGTTGGTCATTGCGTATCGGTTGGATTCACAGCCAAATCTATAGTTGGGCGTATCCAGGCTATTTTTGGGACACTTTCTCATTTGGAGTTCGCTGCCATTCTCCCTAGAGGACCCTAATCGTCCTCTTGTCGTCCAGGGCTCTGACAGTATCCCAGCCTACGTGCTACCATTAACTGCACATCTACATGCCACATCGGTCGTCGCGTGGTGCCATCGCTTTACTCGCTGCATACAGCAGGGCGAGTAAGCGAAAACATGCTACTGCTGATGCCTCCTTTCTTCCTCTTTCACATGCTTTTTCTTTCCCTCTCTCACCACCCCATTAATAACTCTAACCTTGTAGGTCTTGTAGGACTGGTGACTCAAATCGATCACACCGCCACAGTTATCGATGGCACGGATCAATAAATGACTTCCGGTCGTTTTGGAACACATTTGTACATTCTTACCATGCACTCGTCCGGAGTCGCTTCTCCCTTCGTTTTCCAGGGTCGCGTAATTTGCGGAAAAATCGCCTGGCAGCTGAAAGACTGACAGATTGGATGTTAGACGAATTTACCAGAATCGTCTTCTAGAGTCTCTTCCGAATGCACCACCATCAGATGCGAATTCATTCTGAGACGAGATCGCCACCTCTTCGCACAGTGCTGGGAGTTTCGCTTGTGGCTCGGCGCTACCAGGCCCACTCAACCACAGGATACCAGACCGAACACTGGCCCTGCTTAAATCTCAGAGAAATGTCCCAGCCGGTCCCGAACTTAAATTGACGCGACAAATTTTCAGACGACAGGTCAGAGTGAGTATGCGAACTGACCGTGAAATCTGACGGAAACCAAGGGACTGGAGGAGCCTCAAAAAGCCGGTACCGCTTTAAGATCATTTCAGTTGATCCGTGTCACTAGTCTCCCGAAACCTTCTGTGAGCGGGACCACCAAGGTTCAGAAGCCAGTGACCATCTTGAATAAAGAAGAGCGCCTCGACCGGTGGGTCGAATACTTCGAACAATGTGTGGGTATGTTGGTCATTGCGTATCGGTTGGATTCACAGCCAAATCTATAGTTGGGCGTATCCAGGCTATTTTTGGGACACTTTCTCATTTGGAGTTCGCTGCCATTCTCCCTAGAGGACCCTAATCGTCCTCTTGTCGTCCAGGGCTCTGACAGTATCCCAGCCTACGTGCTACCATTAACTGCACATCTACATGCCACATCGGTCGTCGCGTGGTGCCATCGCTTTACTCGCTGCATACAGCAGGGCGAGTAAGCGAAAACATGCTACTGCTGATGCCTCCTTTCTTCCTCTTTCACATGCTTTTTCTTTCCCTCTCTCACCACCCCATTAATAACTCTAACCTTGTAGGTTTTGTAGGACTGGTGACTCAAATCGATCACACCGCCACAGTTATCGATGGCACGGATCAATAAATGACTTCCGGTCGTTTTGGAACACATTTGTACATTCTTACCATGCACTCGTCCGGAGTCGCTTCTCCCTTCGTTTTCCAGGGTCGCGTAATTTGCGGAAAAATCGCCTGGCAGCTGAAAGACTGACAGATTGGATGTTAGACGAATTTACCAGAATCGTCTTCTAGAGTCTCTTCCGAATGCACCACCATCAGATGCGAATTCATTCTGAGACGAGATCGCCACCTCTTTGCACATTGCTGGGAGTTTCGCTTGTGGCTCGGCGCTACCAGGCCCACTCAACCACAGGATACCAGACCGAACACTGGCACTGCTTAAATCTCAGAGAAATGTCCCAGCCGGTCCCGAACTTAAATTGACGCGACAAATTTTCAGACGACAGGTCAGAGTGGGTATGCGAACTGACCGTGAAATCTGACGGAAACCAAGGGACTGGAGGAGCCTCAAAAAGCCGGTACCGCTTTAAGATCATTTCAGTTGATCCGTGTCACTAGTCTCCCGAAACCTTCTGTGAGCGGGACCACCAAGGTTCAGAAGCCAGTGACCATCTTGAATAAAGAAGAGCGCCTCGACCGGTGGGTCGAATACTTCGAACAACAGTTACCACGTTCACAAGCTGCCACTCATCTGGAGCCTACAGCTGACTTAGAACCCTGGGCAGTAAACGTGGAACCCCTTATAAAATCGGAGGTTCATAATTGCACATATTTTCTCAAGCACCACCGGGCTTCTGGTCCGGATGACCTTCCACTCGTATTGTTCACAGGCGGGGGTGAAATCCTCAGTCAGCACTTATCTGATCTGTTTGTCCGCATTTAAGAAAAGAAGCTAAGAAGGCATAGGTATTTTCGGATGGGCGTTGTTATGTGTTCTTTGTGCTTTGCACCTACGAGGTCATGCTCGTGGACATGCATTCACTAAGCACGTCATATACAATCCAGCGGGAGGCGCTGGAGGCTTTGGAGCGCTTTACGTACCTTGAAAGTTGTATTAGTCCCGATTGTAGTATGACAGATGAGGTCAATACATGAATTTGCAAAGCCCGGATCGCGTTTGCTAATTTGAGACACCTATTGCGTCAAAGCCTTATATCCCTAAATCTCAAGGGACGTGTGCAACAGGCTACAGCGCGGCTGTCTTGTAGGGCCGCGAGACCTAGCCTGTTCGAGCTGCCGGTTTGGGTGCAGTCGGTCCTACTGGCCCACCAGGGTAGGAGCTGCATGATCCCCACTGCTCCTGGTTGGAGACGCTGCAAGATATTGCCCTACTCTATGTCACTGTCGCTCGTGTTGCCAATTTATATACAGATTAGCTGAATGAGTGTCTGGAGGTGTAGGCACCTCCAGCTAGCACTAAGTCCCTTCCCCCTCCTCCTTTATCCTTTTGTTCACAATAAGGCTTCGAGATAAATCATGGTAGTACGGTAGCAAAGCATCAGTGCTGAACACTGATGTCATGCCGTCCATGATGATGATGAATTTGTTCTGACCACTGTGGAGTTTATGCAAAGTTTTGTTTCGAATAGAACTAATGAGTACAGTTCGCCATTCATAGAGGAATATTTTAGTAGCTCAGATAGCGTAGGTAGTCGTTGGCTAGTTCGCTGAGCTGTGCAGTTTGATTGCAAACAATTCATCACCAACCGAGTTGACATCATCAATTGGTTATTAGGGGCGTAGTGGTGCATGGCGATGGGTTTGTGGTTGGCACAGCCACCAACATTCAGTTTGGTCTATGTAGTTGATGGATGGACAAGCATTACGTACAGATAGAATTACCTTTGTTAGTTCCGGTTAGCTTCTTTATGTGATCGAATTCTTAAGAGTTCTTAAGCCTAAATTCAGGCTGCAATATTGACATAATGCTAGTGCCAAATACAATATCACAAAACATTTTCCTGGGGACGAAAATATGTCAGTGTGTGCTTGCGCAGGTTTGTAATCAGTTGCGTGGATGATCGAACTCAACATCGAATAGCATGGAATCCTGCGCTAGATAAGTACGTGTTAGGACCGAACGCGTGTTGAGACTGGTATAACAATTTTCTAAATCTTGGACCAAAATTCCCCTAAACCTCACGAAAGGTACTGTTTTTCCTGAGATTATCCACAAAAAGTTCTTGATTTTCTGCTTACGTATTCATTCATTGGAGATATGAATTTTCACTCTAATTGGAACTTTTTGAACCATATTTTCTACGTCAAACTTAAAAAAACGTCTAAATGACGAATCGAGGCGTAACTTGATGCTCCGGTTACTGTGAAATGTAATCACTTGTTCACTTCGTTCGACTCATTGACTGAAAAGGTTCTGCTCCACTTCCGCATATCACGACATGCTTCTTTCCCTTATTGGACGTTTGACCGAATGATTGAGATGAGGAGGTGGATCTCAGAAACTACCATACTTCCATAATGCGTCCAAACGTAACTGCTGCCCATAACACATGTATGTAATGGTGTCCTACAATGGTTTGAAGTGGGAACTCAGAAACTAGCAGCCCCGTCGATTCAGTTCTAAATGACCTCTTAGCCCTGCTAGCCACCCAGTTTTATCTGAACATATTCATTACCATTTATTTATGGAGAAAGTGAAGGAGATATCCTAATCTTGCCGCATAACTTAATGGTTGTGTTCTGAATTAACCAACTGATTTCATAATACCCAGATATATGCTGAGAAACGTGTGGCTTTTAACACAATCAAGGACAATGATTGCAGTACGTAGATAATACATCTAAGTAATCAGGTCTCCCTGATGTACTGTTGGATATCTTTCCTTCAGCCAGAATTCATCATAATTCAGTTCGCCTTCCTCGAAACTGAGCCTGAGGCTCTACCGTGATCGCTTGTCAGTTTAGTAGATTTAGCTTCTTGTGTAACAGCTAGTCAGCTGACGGTCCACCACTCATAATAGTCTCTTGTTAAATGCCATAAGCAGATTCTTGCAAGAAACTTCATCCAATTAACGGAACTGACTGAAATAAAGTGAAAAGAGCGAGTTAGATGACTGAAATTTCCCTTGATGAGTAATGATTCCCCCAAAAACAGAGGCGTGATTTTCTTTTGGGTCAACAGCAGTGGCCATCGTCCCCTTCCAGGTAGACTGAAACCAGCCAACCGCAACAGTTATGCAAACTCTTGTCAACCTGAAAGCACGGAAGTGTTTTTTTTCTCGCGCTTTTGTCCTTTCATACGGTTTGTTTCATCCTACTTCGGTTTGGACTCAAGGTTATATTGATGTGAAGCCAGATATCGACTTATTCTCTGGTTCTTTTTTCTGAATAACTCGGGGGTGCTACTAAAATAGTCTATTAGTCAGGTAGATCATAGTATCATTTTTCAGCATAAAAATGAAAAATTGTTTCACACCCTTGGTTTTTACATACTGAACTCATTTGCTTTTGCGCGGCGGTGATCTGTCGTTCCGTATTACCAAACTAGCCTCGGAGTTTGCAACAACAGGGTGGATCCGTTTCATTTCTCGGGTTTTAGTATCCATTCGGTTTCGTGTAATACTCCGCTGGGTATCACAAAGCCGAGAAATGCATCTTGGGAATCTTCTTTCTCCAACTTTATAGGACTGTCTCCTTTTTCTCGACACGGTTCATCTACCTTTCACCTTCCTATTGAATTCCAGAAGAAGCTACTCTGTCGTCAGTTGCACGAGGCTGAATCACTAATGATGGTCCAGCGGCTGGATTGGGAAATCAAGCTGAAGGAAACGCACGTGCATGACTACAGTGCTGATATATTTCGGGACATTCCTGCAAGTCATGTGCCGCTTATTCATGTGCCAAACGATTTTCCCCTCTTCCCCCACGATCCCGTTCCTCCCGGCACGTCGGTCTAAGTGACACACGTGGACACATCGAACCCTTGTGTATATACCCCATCCATGAATTCTTGTGCTCAAATACATCAGTTGCTGTTTCGCACTTGGTAATCTAATCCCAGTGCTAAACCAGAACACCACAAACATACATTAACTTGATAACTTTGGAAGCAATGAGCTGCGGCTAAATGACCGTGCAACGGTGGTGACTATCCTCTGAAGGGACCACCTCTGGATAACATAAACTCCTTTCTGTTTAGTGGCGTTCTCCATAACAGGCGCACAGATTTCACTATGAAGTGAAAGCTTTGTCTTTCGATACGTGTACACGCATGGTTATTGATATGCTTTTCAACAAATATATGAAGGGATCGTCCCTATGCTATAGGTAACAAACATCTCGGGAAATTTAGCTTCAGTAATATTCTGTCGTATATTTGCACCTGCCACCTATATCGACTGAGTTGGCATACTGATGCAGTAAAAATGAAATTAAAAGCTCCATATTAACTTTCCAACTCACCCACCACTTCAGAAATGACCGAATCAATAGAAAAAGCAACCGAGCCCTAAAACAAATAGTTAATAATGGCAATTTCGCTATCTTGTTCACAGCCCAGCTAAGGAGGCAGAGGACCTTAGTACTGGATGGCTTCTGTCGTTGGTTTTTTCTTTGCTGAACCAGGCACTTAAATTGCAAACGTTTCATCACCAGTCGAGGTGACTTTATTCGGGTCCATAACATATTCCGCTTGTTTCGCACTCTTACACGCTGAACCCCAATACAACGAAGAGGTGCAGAAAAAACGAAAGACTGCTTCGTCAGTCTGATGAGGGGGCATGTCATCTTCAAAATTATACCTAGAATCCGGGGTAGTATTTGCTGTTACTTGACTTTACGTAAACCAGTTAGAAAGGAGAACTGCAGATACGTCGAAATCGACACTGGTGACAGGACCGTGGCGAACAGCGAGTGGAGCAGTGGGAACCGCGGGTCTGAGTGAGGACGAATAGCAGCGAAAGCCAACTCTGTGGGATGCGTCACATTGCCCCGGATCCTACAGATTTTATAATTTATAGCAAACTATAACAACTCAGAGGGCTGCAGGGGCCAATTATATCAGTCACCAAGGCGGTCTCTGCGTGGCAACCTAAGTAATAGGTTACATAAATGAACAAACAGAGGGAGTAGAGGATGGAAGAGGGCAGTCAGACATTTAGGGGGAAAACAACTGAACAAAAAGCGAAACAACTGAAGTCAACGTAAACATACCTAACTGACAGAAGACAGACAGTGGTCAGCAGGCGCGTACTGCGCCACAAAGCACGTCACAGCTCCAGGCATGTACCGTATCGCGTGCCGTCACACCTATAGTGTGCGCGAACTGCACTGTAATCAGACACAAAGAGACGTGCTAATAGACAATCTTACGCACACTGAAGCGATATGGGACACGTTCTGGGCAAAACGACTTGTGACAAGTACGGAATAGAGTGACCTTGGTCACTCGGCCCATGGCCAGGTGGGTAGCGGCCTGAAACCAGTTCTGATCATCTTTGTTCGACACCAGACAAGGCGGAATTCCCTTACAGGTGCAGTCAGTCACAACAGCAACAGATATAAACAACAAACATTTAACTGTCTGCTGTATATATCGCCAACCGAAGTTCTTTTTGGATAGAATACGAGAACAGCCACAACAACCTGTTGAAAAATAAAGGGTAAATCAGGTAGTAGGGTGAAATAACATACGCTTCGGAATTTTCATCCCTGTAAGGAATCAACGCCACCAGGCCGATGCATGAGCTCTATAGCCACTGCCAACTGACTGCAGTTCCTCCAGGGCGCTACGCCCATCCCCGTCTCTCCGTTCATCTTATAGCCCCCACTTTCCGGTATCTATCAGAAGAATTACAACTTTCACAACTGGCATACGGATATTGATGTTGCCGGTCTTTCGAAGCGAAAAAGTATCCGTTACTGACCTTACTGCTTGTCAAACCAGATGGTAAAACTGTGAGAACGGTACCTGACCTGCTATTAACCAGCTTCGTATAAGCCTGGACAGTATGACGGGTTCTGCAGAGTTGACTTTTGCTGCTGTTCGATCTCACGAACCCTTTTGTTCCCACTGCCCCATCTGCTGTTTGCTACAGTCCTGTTTTCTTTGACGATACCGGTGTATCTGCTACCCAATGTCCCAATTACATATGTACTTGCCGTTTTTTCTAACTTCGGGTCGTGTGTGGTCGAATAGCAAAATATGATTGTGGAATCCGCCATACTACCTCCGGTTCTACATTATACATAATGCCGAAATGAAAAGACGAAAAGACATATTAATCCATTACAGAAGGATGACATCATCTGGATTTCTTGTTAAGAAATTGGACCTCATTGACAAAAATTGATGTTCTTCTCTTCGAATGAGTGCCTTCGACTGTATTTTTGGAATCGACCATAGAAAGTGTGCTTAAAAGTTACTCCGAAGATCCTAACATTATTTCAAAAAATATTTGATCAAACTCACGCCTGCGACAAGTTTTTGTCAGAAGAAAACGTGGAAACCACTGAAATTTAATCTCACTGGATTTATAACCAAAGGCTAGTATGTTTATGTTTTCCCAATGGATATTCTATAAACTCTGATGGCGTAGGCTGCGAGTCCTTTGAAGATTCAAATGAAGCCGTAGCATTATAGGAAGGGAGAATTTTCGGGCTACACGATGAACATCTTTACTGCTATTTACGGCCATTCGCTTTTCTGTGCTTGTCACGTCGTAAACTGTTTATGGATACACAAGGTCGTATTGCTGGTACGATCCACTGTCCATCTTTACGAATTACTGTTAAGACAAAATACGAACGTTGTTTTCACTTTTAATCTTCCCTTCAATACTGCCTATCCCCATTTCGAATTAGATAACTTTTTACCGCCAATCTCTTGCGTCTCAGCCATTAAGTGCCCATGTCGTAAGAAGAATCAGGCTAGGTGACGTAGAGTCGTCGTTCCATTGTTCGTTCACCGGTGCGTTCCAAATGACAAAAATTCTATTTTGACACTTAAAATGGTAGAGAACTTCTTTCGATGGACTACGAAACTATCAACGGGAGGTCGCGAAACCGTACATGCTAAAACTTTCTCTTGTTTCGAGATAGGATTTTACTGCACCCCTGCCTGTTGGCAGCTCAAACGTAACTAACAGGATATCCAAACATAAATTGTTGGTGTTTTTCGTTCTGTCGCAGATATTGCGATACCGTTTTCGGGTGTGGTTAACGTGATAAGTTTCTCGTTTCATATGAAAAATGGCATGAGTATCTAGCTACCGGAACCAAATGTGTCCTTGACCTTGAAATGTTGCAAAATGTAGATAGAATCCTCGAGTATTGTCTCCACGGCGTCGGTTAGATTGCTCCTTTATCCTGGTGTTGCGTCGTCCCGCCGTTCTTATTCGCTGCCTATAAAAATCCTGAGCTAGTATAAGCCCGTTTAGTGTCGAACGGTAAGTGCGCAAGCTGTCCTCCGTTTCACTCCACCCTTATCGGCCATGAAGACTAAGGAATTATTGTAGGTTGAGTCTCGTTAATTCTCATCCAAGGACCATCTATTACGGTTTTTATGCAGAACAGTCTTTATGAGGGCTTCGGTAGCATGTGCGCACTGTTCAATTGATTTCATGATCGCCTCGAGGCTACAGTCAATCCCTGATCAGTGGTATGCTTAACTACACGCTAAATCGGAGGGTGGGGGGGTGAACGCAATGCACCATTTGTACAATAAGTTTTCCCAGGACTGGTGGTATCACCATGCGATCTGCGAGCATCAACTAACCGCCTAAGGTCTTCGAGTATCACGTCATGGGCAGTGTGGTAATCTGTATAGGCTTCTGTGGGCCAGCCTGTTCAGAAAAGGGGTCTGATTTGTAGCAGGTTGGGTTATGGTAGATGAATCTCTGAATACGTATCTCACATCAGCGTCAATCTTGATAAAAGGAATGGTCACATCCTCACTTAGTCTTTTATTAGACTTGTATACAATCATGCCGGGAAGGACGTCCTCATGGTCAAATTTCCGTGTGAATGTACTTGAACATGAAGTCATAGCCGATGAGTAATGTAGTCCGGTGTGGAAATTTGCCAGCTGTGTGAACAGGTATACCATTCGGTGTGCACATATGGATAGCAGAGGCTTATGATTCATACACAGGCGGCTGTGGAACATCTTATGAAGCTTTTTAACTGAGAAAATGAGAATCAAACATGTCTCTACCTGACTATTGTTTCTCGGGAGATGACGGTTCTAGAACCGTGACTAGTTGATTTTTGGGTATCACAAGGACTATGTGTGAAATCACAAACCCGGTAATGTCATCGAAGAAGAGCACACCCTCGATGGCATATACTGGGTACCTCTGAACCGATCACGGCTGGTACAAACCAGACTACTGTCGATCGCATAGTCGATTGGTATACGACTGCTGGATCTACAGCTTTGCGTCCGAAAAAAATTGTGCGACCTCTGAACTTGAGCTGGTCTGCGAGAAATCCGGTCCCTCAAACTTTTGTGACATTAAAGTCACCCACTCCGTGACCCGTTGACCGGTGTACCTCTCATTCCACCTCTTCCATTGTCTTCTTTTCCTTTCATTAAAATTTATGTCCTCCTGATTTTCAGATAACCGTCTTCACGTGATTAGTGGTGCCATATAAATCTGTGGAACAATCTTTGTTCGCTACCTTCGTTCTCCTTATGACCTCCACGGGTGTATTCAACTACCTAAGGCAATCCAACTTTATAGTCAGAAACGTTTGCAATCATACGGATTGGGAGATTAGGGGCGTGATGTGTCAATTCGTTGGAGGACAAGGATTGCTTGAAGCGATTGAGGAAGAACTGACGCATACGAGATCAAACCTAGTTTGTATCCTTGCATAAAAGGTTGAGAGCGCATTCGTATTTGGGACAAAGCTGTTACCATATTTCACCAGGTCGAGAAGGAATGTAACTGTAGGAGATCAGTCTAAGGCTGGAGGTCTGCAACGGTGACAATTTCAACTCCCATCTATTTTAGTCGACATTTGACACTTGGAACCAGAAAAATCCTCATTTTGGCTTCTATGAGGTGAATCTCATGCGTTCAAACTGCGTTTTTTTCTTCTAGTGAAGGATGAGCAGCGAATATATCATGGTACAGATCTCTGTATGTATTTATTTTTAACGGCTCCTTCTAATTATCTTTCAAATTGACTTGAAGGTACAAATCTAATGCTATCATTGGGTCTTGCACAGAAAGTAGATGTTACTTTGTCTAAAACTCGGGGACTGCGCCTACCTAATGAGCCCAAAGAAGGGTGAAACCGGTCGTGAGC